AGGGTTCAAAAAGGGAAGCTGGGCTGGGCACGGTGGCTCACACCTGTAATCCTAGCACTCTGGGAGGCTGAGGCAGGCGGACTGCTCGAGGTAAGGAGTTTGAAACCAACCTGAGCAAGAGTGAGACCCCGTCTCTACTATAAATAGAAAGAAATTAATTGGCCAAGTAATATATATAGAAAAAATTAGCTGGGCATGGTGGCGCAGGCCTGTAGTCCCAGCTACTCGGGAGGCTGAGGCAGGGAGGATGCTTGAGCCAGGAGTTGGAGGTTGCTGTGAGCTAGGCTGCGCGCACGGCACTCACTCTAGCCTGGGCAACCAAAGCGAGACTCTGTCTCAAAAAAAAAAAAAAAAAAAAGGAAGCCAACAATAAGAGACCACACTGATCCTGGAATCCTGCTGGGATAGTCAAATAACTCAGAGGTTATTTCTGGGTATGATGTGAAGTTCGGGTCTAATTATATATATTTTCCCCTATTGTCTCAGAACCACAGTCCAGTCCCATTCTGTCCCCACTGTGTGTTGTGTCTGTCACACAATGGGTTCTGTTTCTGGAGACTGTGTACCTCCATCTGTCTAGTCATCACGAGGCTTTTTATCTAAGTCCTGCTATCTGGTAGGTCAAGACCTTCCCTTCTGTTCTCTTGGTTTGTCTTGGGTATTGTTGACCTTAGCATATCCATTTTAAATTTAGGATCAGGTTTATCTGTAGGCTCCTTTGTATTTTAAATATAGACAATTATTTTCATTGCAAAGGAACAGTTTTTTCACTTCCTTTCTTCTCCTTATATCTATCATTTATTACTGTTTTATTGTATTATCTAGGCTACCCAGGACTGTGCTGAATGTTAGAAATAATAGCATGATTCTTGTTATTCCTGGCATTAAAGAATATGCTTCTATTGGCTCTCCATTATGTAGGATGTCTGCTCTAAGTTTGTAGTAGAGACTTTTTATCCAGTTAAGGAACTTTTCTTCTGTTCCTACTTTATTTTTTGAGACAGAGTCTCACTTTATTGCCCAGGCTAGAGTGAGTGCCGTGGCGTCAGCCTAACTCACAGCAACCTCAATCTCCTGGCTCAAGCAATCCTGCTGCCTCAGCCTCCCAAGTGGCTGGGACTACAGGCGTGCACCACCATGCCCGGCTAATTTTTTTCTATATATATTAGTGGGCCAATTAATTTTTCTTTTATTTATAGTAGAGACGGGGTCTCGCTCTTGCTCAGGCTGGTTTTGAACTCCTGACCTTGAGCAATCCACCTGCCTCGGCCTCCCAGAGTGCTAGGATTACAGGCGTGAGCCACAGCGCCCGGCCTTGTTCCTACTTTATTAAGAGGTTTTTCTTTTTTGTTGAGAGTTTTGATCACAAATGAGTGATAACTTTATAAAAATGCTTTCTTAAGCATTTATTTACCATCTATTGAGATGATAGTATGATTTATCGGTTTTCTCGTTG